GCGCGCAACGCGCACATGCCGCCTGGGCTCATGCCAAGAGCCTACTTGCCAGTGACAAGGTCCCATGGCGATTGAAACAAACGTGGATGGCAGGGCGTGTGCTTCCCGCGGCCTACGCCACCATTGCAACATCCATCGCCGTATCAGAGCGGGCACTCGCACCGATCAACGGCTTCTTTGAAAGAGCTGCCAGACAGATAGTGTCCTCATGGACGTACGGGCACATTCTGTCCCGGTCGATGCTCACCTTGCTTCTCGGTCTGTCGGCTCCCGAAGACGCTTACGGACAAGTTCTCATAGAAGCCTGTCAAGAAGTTGCTCATGGTTGCCCAGGCATCGTGCAGGCGTCAGAAGTCACCACTCTGTTTGTCCGCCAACATGCGGGGGATTTCCTTAAAGCCTGCAGACACCTGAGTCACTACGGCTCCGCGTATAGGGCCATAGGACAGCTCTGGCGAGAGGTAGGGGCTCCCAAGGTCACTAAGGTACACGGGACTCGGTCCCCGCAGGTTTGCCCGTTATGTTCCGCCACCCTGCCCAGTGCGCAGGCACTTGCGGCCCATGTACACCGCAAGCACTCGGTCGTGAATATGCTTACGCGATATACTCATGGCACTGTGTGTCTTTGGTGTCATACTGAGCAACATTCTACGGACAGGCTCAAATACCACCTACGCCACTCGCCTAGCTGCATGCACGGGCTACGCGTGGTTGTTGGCCCTGCTTATATCTACGGCTCTGGTACCAAGCGCAAAGGACCCCGCAGCCATCGCGGTCTGCCAGCAATACGTCTCCCGGGACCTATTAATGCTACCCCAGCACAAAGGCACGCTGCTGAGCACCATCAGCACTGCTCTGATGACGATCTCCGTGACGAACGGCGTCGCATTTTGGGCACGTGTGACGTCTACTCCTGGCCACATGATTGTGTCCGCCTCCTTCCTCCGGACGACGAAGCTGCTCCTGAATCGGACAACGGAGCCAGAACCGGGGGAGTGTCGACTCCACCAGCTCCGGCGCATGCCGGCACGCCGCCGGCCACGGATATGCAACCAGGCCAGGTTCTGCTCAGACATTACTTCTTGGTTGAGATTGAGCATGTGGCTGCTGTTCTCGGGGGCGCCACCCTTCGTCTGGCTTCCCCTAAATGGGACAGTATTCTACTCACGCCGGCCTGCTGGCGCCTGCCTGACCGCTGGCACCAGTTGTGGTCACTGTGGCGCAGTATACACAGCTTACACCCGTGGGACTCCTCAGCACGTGCAAGTTATCAGCCCGTGCGAGATGCCCTTGATTCCGAGCAAGGAGCTGCACGCGGGCCCCCACTCCCACTGCAAGCACTTTTGCACGCAACTGTTACCTTCCGGATGGTCTGTCTGCATGTGACGCTTGGGGGGGCTATGTGGATTCCTGGTCCACTAGGCGAGACAGGTGTACGCCTGTGGCGCTCGCTCATGCCGCATGCTGTTTTCTTTCAGCTTACCTCACCATTTGTGTTCGCCGCGGCTCACTCCGACGTGGCCAATGCGGTACGGACTCATTTGAGCTCTCGCCCTGCTGCTTTTGATGCGCGGAGTGATGAGCTCGTGATCCGTGCTTCTGCGATCTGCCGCTCCTTTTCACCTGCAGCTCGTGGGTTGTAGCTTGCCGTCTCGCTCCCCCCCTGCTGTCTTTTGTTTCGTGTAGTTTAGTCTAGCCCCGCGAAGCTTACAGCAAGCTTGGCTTTTGGGCATTGCATGGCGCTCAGGACGTTGGACTCCCTTCTGCGTGAGTGAGTGAGTGAGTGAGTGATTTAGGGTTTAGGATTTAGGATTCTAGGATGTAGGGTTTAAGGTTTTTGAGTTCTAGGGTTTAGGATTCTAGGATTTAGGGTTTAGGATTTAGGGTTTAGGATTCTAGGGTTTAGGGTTTAGGATTTTAGGATTTAGGGTTTAGGATTCTAGGGTTTAGGATTTAAGGTTTAGGATTCTAGGATTTAGGGTTTAGGATTTAGGGTTTAGGATTCTAGGATTTAGGGTTTAGGGTTTAAGACTTAGGATTCTAGGATTCTAGGATTCTAGGGTTTAGGATTTAGGATTCTAGGATTTAGGGTTTAAGATTTTAAGTTTCAGGGTTTAGGATTCTAGGATTTAGGTTTTAGGATTCAAGGATTTAGGGTTTAGGATTTAGGGTTTAGGATTCTAGGATTTAGGGTTTGGGATTTTAGGATTTAGGGTTTAGGATTTTAGAATTTAGGATTCTAGGATATAGGGTTTAGGATTTTAGGATTTAGGATTCTAGGATATAGGGTTTAGGATTTTAGGATTTAGGGTTTAGGATTCTAGGATTTAGGGATTAGGATGTAGGATTTAGGGTTTAGGATTTAGGATTTAGGATTTAGGATTTAGCCTCCGGAAATTTGGATTTTTGCTGGTGATTTTCAAGTGACAAATTCTGTTCATAAAATGTGCTTTTTAGACAAGGCCGGTTGCGAATCTCGAGGTCCCCTCCTTTCTTTTCGAGTGGCTGCTCTTAAGCTTCCGGTTTTCAATATTTAGTCGCGCTTGTCCTTTACGGAAAAGGACAACCAGCTCTAAGATCTAGATTTAGGATTTAGGATTTAGTGTTTAGGATTTTAGGATTTAGGGTTTAGGATTCTAGGATTTAGGATTTAGTGTTTAGGATTTAGGATTTAAAATTCAAGGTTTAGGATTTAGGATTTAGGATTTGGGATTTGGAGGGCCGGGCCCCCCCGGACACCGGCAGACACCCCCGGACACCCCTGACCCTCCGGACATGCCGGACTCCTCACACAACAGAGGCCTCCGGAAAGGACTTTTGCTGGTGATTTTCAAGTGACAAATTCTGTTCATAAAATGTGCCTTTTAGACAAGGCCGGTTGCCAATCTCGAGGTCCCCTCCATTCTATTTTGGGGGGCCGGACCCCCCCGGACACCGGCAAACACCCCCGGACACCCCTGACCCTCCGAACATGCCGGATTCCTCAACAGAAGGCCTCCGGAAAATTTGATTTTTGCTGGTGATTTTCAAGTGACAAATTCTGTTCATAAAATGAGCATTTTAGACAAGGCCGGCTGCGAATCTCGAGGTCACCTCCTTTCTTTTCGTGTGGCTGCTCTTAAGCTTCCGGTTTTCAATATTTAGTCGTGCTTGTCCTTTTCGGAAAAGGACAACCAGCTCTAAAATCTAGATTTTCCAAGGCTGTCAAACGATAAGCTTGAAGGGCCGAGCCGGCCCTGCCATGCCGAAGGCCCGAAAAGGGCTGAGGCTACTCCCAGCCGTTGCCTAAACCACAACTTCAACAACTGGAACGTTCATGGGTGCAAAAATAGGGATTTCTTGGATTTCCGGTTTCCAAAGCTGTCAAACGATAAGCTTGAAGGGCCGAGCCGGCCCTGCCATGCCGAAGGCCCGAAAAGGGCTGAGGCTACTCCCAGCCGTTGCCTAAACCACAACTTCAACAACTGGAACGTTCATGGGTGCAAAAATAGGGATTTCTTGGATTTCCGGTTTCCAAAGCTGTCAAACGATAAGCTTGAAGGGCCGAGCCGGCCCTGCCATGCCGAAGGCCCGAAAAGGGCTGAGGCTACTCCCAGCCGTTGCCTAAACCACAACTTCAACAACTGGAACGTTTATGGGTGCAAAAATAGGGATTTCTTGGATTTCCCATTTCCAAAGCTATCAAACGATAAGCTTGAAGGGCCGAGCCGGCCCTGCCATGCCGAAGGCCCGAAAAGGGCCGAGGCTACTCCCAGCCGTTGCTTAAACCACAACTTCAACAACTGGAACGTTCATGGGTGCAAAAATATGAAAGCTCCCCTTGATAGGGGGGTTGGGGGGTAGAAACCCTAAACCCTAATAGAGTATAGTTTGGGTGGCCGGGGTGGGTTTACAAGCAACGCGAGCGCGCGGCCCGGGGTGTTTCACACCCGAGCGCGCGACCTCGCCAGACACACCCTAAACCCTAAACCCTAAACCCTAAACCCTAAAACCCTAAAACCCTAAAACCCTAAACCCTAAAACCCTAAACCCTAAAACCCTAAACCCTAAACCCTAAACCCTAAAACCCTAAAACCCTAAAACCCTAAACCCTAAAACCCTAAAACCCTAAAACCCTAAACCCTAAAACCCTAAACCCTAAAACCCTAAACCCTAAACCCTAAACCCTAAAACCCTAAAACCCTAAAACCCTAAACCCTAAAACCCTAAACCCTAAAACCCTAAAACCCTAAAACCCTAAACCTTCCTCATTGGCGCCAGGTTCCCCAGGATTCCGGTCTTCGGGTTTGGTTTATCCTAGGAAGTATAAGGGAGCCTTAAAGGGGGACCTTTCTTAACTGTCAGAAGGGACCTTATTGAGAGGATCTTTGTCCCCAAGGATCACCTAATCAAATTGTCAACAAAACTATAACCACAATTCATAAGGAACCCCGCAAAACAGTATAGGTAATCAGTTATGCAGCCTCTGGATTTCCGGGGTCCCAGTATAACCCTCCCCCCCCCCCATATTCCCACAAGGTTCCTCTTTAGTACACCTTGGAAACCGGACAGCTAGGTATTTCTGCTGAGGGTTTCCCGAAAGGTTGAGTGCAGGCTTTGAAGACAGAGGTTATCCTGGCAGAAGTCATGCATTAGTTCTGATTTAGTGGTTTATGGCCAGTTTAGGGTTTAGGGCATCGGGTTTAGGGTTTTGTGGCTTCAGGGGTAAACCCCAACACCCTAAACTATAAGATCCTAAATACGCAAGTAAACCCTAAATCCTAAACCCTATAGCACCCCGAATGGGATCTTAGAAGAGGCTATCGCCCTTTACTGCCCCTTTCTTACTCTAAACCCTCTTGATCCCTCAAAGATCCCTTAAAGAAAGTACAGCTTTTTAGCATTTACACAACATAAAAGCCTAAACATAACTAGACACAACCGCGGGCCAGTATGATGTTGCTTTCTGTAAAGAAACCCTTAAGGATCCCTTAAAGGAGGGCCGAGAACCCCCTGGCCAGTCGCGACGTCCTCCTGGAGCGAAATCGCTTTCCCTACCAGCTGCCTCCGGGTGCAGAGCACTGGACCATCTGGTGCAGGCACCTCTTTGTTTCAGGGTTTTTGGGTTGTGGGGTTTTATAAAAGGTTTAGGGTTCAGGGTTGAGGGTTTCAGGGTTTGGGGTTGGGTGTCTAAGGATTTGGGTTTCGGGGTTCCGCAGGACTTTATCGTGCAGACTGCGGGGTTTTGTGGGTTTAGGGTCTTAGGGTGCAGGGCATCAGGGTGGATGCTTTCAGGGTGTAAGGTTTGCTTCATGGTTTGGGACTGAGGGCATTGGCTTTGACGACGAGTCTTGTACCAATTGGTGCAGGTTAGGTTGTGCCTGAGATTTTCCGGCAGTGAAACTATCTAAACCCTCAGCCCCACACCCTAAACCCTAAGGCCCGGACAAGGCCCTTAACACGAAACCCTAACACACACACGGCTCAGCGTTTTCTGTAGGCCAGACAGCCAGGTTTGTCGAAAGTCAAGATTTTTAGTGTTAGGGTTTCTGGCTGATTAGTGCTTTGAAGTAAAGAGCGTTCCTGGGCAAGTCATATGCGTGCGCTTTGGCAACATCAGGAGGTGGGGGTGCGCACACGGCAAGTAATAGGAGGAGTAAATCATGATGATTGCTGCTGTGGTGGCTGCTACGGCTAATAGTTATCATTTTGGCACGTGTAGTTTTGACTTTTTCATTGTGATGATAAGGCTTGGGCTGAATATTCGGTAATTGGAACCTAACATCAATTTCGTTGACAAGCACTGCGTTGCGACTTGGCCTCCGGAGCACTTGATTTCAATCCTAAGCCCTAAGATGCAGTTTACCGCCCCCTTGCTGCACAACCTACCTTTCAGGAACATGTATAAGACAATCACAACATGGAATGCTAAGGGCGATGGTTCCTGACGGTTTAGTCATTTAGTCAAACCCTCAGTCCCATCATTTCACGATTTTGCAAGGGCCTCTTCTACCGCCGGCATCTCCTCAGGTGCATGTAGGCAAAAAAAACAGCAGAAACAGTCCGAGTCGTCTTTAGACAACGACAGCCACGCAGTGGTGCTGGCAGACTTGGCGTGCAGGCCTTTTCGAGTGTATCATCCTGGAGGGTTGTGGGGCACAGGCCTGTGCAGTTTTCATAAGACATTTGGGAGTCTCCGAAAAATAGGGGGACCTAGTATAGTACTCTAAACAATAGGATCCTCATGATAATGACCCCAAAATAAGGTACCCCTAATTGCCGGAAACTCTAAACCCTACACCCTTTATAGAACCCTTCTAGATCCCTTACAGGAATCCTTAAAGGATCCCTTTAAAGGTACCCCTAATTTTCGGAAACCTTCCCCTTGAGTCCGTCGGCAGGCATGAGATGGGTCACCAGGAGCTCTGCAACTACGTCGAGGTGCCTTGCCGTGGATCTGGTTCAGGTTGGTTTTATGTGCTTGTCGCTTTAGGGTTAAGGGTTTAGGGTTTGGGGTGCTTGTTAAGGGTTTAGGGCTTTAGGGTTTAGGGTGTAGAGCCTGCCTTGAGTATTCAGAGTTTAGGATTTAAGGGTCTTTCAACTGCCCAAACAGTTGCCGCTGTTCGTGTTTCTTGTCCAGCGCTTAACATCGCCGGGCGATGTTGGCTTGAGGGTCTAGGACCCAGAGTAAGCCCTTATTCCCTTTTTTCGGGTTCAGGTTCCCCTATTAAGCCCCTTTAAACCAAAAAGGGCACCCTTTCTATTCCTAGGCTACTCTTGGGTCTAGGGGTTGTTGTTTGGCAAGAAAGTGTTTCGGAGTACCGGCTCCATGGTTTAGTGTAGAATGGGTAGTAGTACCGGTTTAGGGTTTAGGGTTTAGGGTTTAGTGTAGAATGGGTAGTAGTACCCCTTCAAAGTCCTTAAGCTGCAACTCTAATATGCCGAGCTGAATGCCCTTAGCTGAAGTTTAACTGCGTGGTGTCTAGCACGTAGAAGTCATGCGTAGGTTGTGAAGCCGCCGATCGAAGCAACCAGATCGCCACAATTGAGACCCGATAAGGGTTGAGGGTTCAGGATGTGCTAACATCCATTTTTGTTTTGCAGGTTTCCAATATGGCGCCCCCTCTATAACTTGAACAGGACGAGCGTTTGGGGCTGGTATTTGGAGGATCAGGGCCTGCATATGTACAGTTATAAGTCAGGCAGCTGTAGTTCTATTCTACTTATAAATCGAAGTAAGTCACCCGTGACCCCTAGAGTTGGCTGATCTTAAACCCTGAATCCTAAACCCTTTGCCAAAGTAAGAAAGGCTTTATTGCACTGGGCCTAAACCCCTACTTCGCTCCGGCGAATCCGACCCGGAAGCTGTCATCAAGGGAGACAGGGAGTGCGATTCCATGATGGGGACCTCAAGTTCGTATTCTTGCTGCTGCGCGGTCTGGAAGCAAGCCACAGCATAACTTAGTAGCTGGATCAGTATGCGTCACACTTTTCGGTAATTTTCGGGTTAGTACTACACCCTATTGAACTTACGTTTTAATTGTTTTTGGGCTTATGATCTCAGCAACCAAGGTCACCATTGGTTCCCTGCAAACCCGAGCATCGTATCAGTGAGCTTTTCTAGCCCTAATCCTCCCAGCTCCGATACTACAGGGACCGGAATAAATACCTCTACCATTTTGGTGGTTCCGTTTTATAGCTATAGTATTCTGCGCCCCAGAACCCTACTCATACTATCAGCTTCACCGAATCCTCAACCTCCGGATGCTAAGCTTACCTTTGGTTAGTAGGGAATGGAGGAACGCGGTACAATTACAACAACTATTACTACCATTCTTCCATTCAAGGGTAGAACCGTATAGTATCCTGTAAAGGGACCCTATTATGGTATCCTATAGTATCCCCTAAACCCTAAACCCTACTAACCAAAGGTAAGTAAGGGCCAATGGCAAACCCCCCCCAGCCCCAAGGTTTAGGGCTCAGCCTCGGCTTACGGTTTGAGTTCTAGGTGTTTTGGGGTTTAGGATTTAGGTTTTAGGGTTTTTTGTGTTTTAGGGTTTAGGGCTTTAGGGTTTAAGGTTTAGAGTTTTAGGGTCCCCGCGGCGTGAAACCGTAGACTAGATCCCCAACAAGGCATGGTTGGATGCTCGGGAGCCCCACCATGCCGGGACCTCGTGGGTTTAGTGCAAGGCCTAGGGGTCTAGGACCCAGAGTAGGCCCTTACTCCCTTTTTTAGGGTTCAGGTTCCCTTATAAGCCTCTTTAAACCAAAAAGGGCATCCTTTTTATGCCTGGGTTACTCTTGGGTCTAGGGGACCACTTGGTTTTCCAGATATGCTGCAGGCCCCGAAAGAAAAAGGATCCGTAAGGCTCCAAACAGGCCAAAATAGGTCTTGTCCACAGACAAAATCCACCCCAAGCTCGGCATCCTCTGTGTCCAAAAGTAATCCCAAAGCCACAACACCTGAACCAGTACACCCCCAAACCACGCGAGCAACTTCAAAGCTGTAAACTCCCACCCCCCGAGCCCAAAGAAGAAAAGCGCAGCATGCTTGCATCACTCATTTTGGGTTTCGAATAGGGTCTTTGCAAAGGTTGTCAGATCTTTGCCGGTTTCGTTGGGTATGGGGCTTCAAGCCGTTTTGGGAGATGACAGGGCTTGACTTAGTGTTTAGGGTTTGGGGCGTTAGGGCTTTCTGCATCAGGGTTGAGGTCACTTGACGGTTTCAGATGTCGGATTTTGGGGTTGAGGTCACATATTTGGCCGTACAACACTTCCTACTTGTTATGTCTTTTGGCCGAAGCATGGTCCAGCTTCGTCTCCGACCCTTTTAGGGCCCTGTGCCCCGAGTTTTTGTTTGGGCTCCAGGCCGGGACTTTAAGTTTTGGCAGGCTTCTGGGTTTACTTCTCAACAGGAGTTCAGATGATTTTATGGTGGGGGTGTCGGGTTTGGTGTTTCGAAATCCCTTGTCCTGAACGATGAACCGCCAAGCCTGTATGGGTACGTTGGACAATCTTGGAGGGTTTGGGGTGTCGTGCGAAGGTCGTGTCCTGGAACTACGACGACAACCGTGGCCGCCGGACAATCAACGTTTGGCTGCCTAGTGTCGGAGATGGGATGTGGGAAGCCGGGAAAGGCATAGAGGCAAACTGTATCTGTCAGGCTTGAAATTTCAGACCAGCTAACACCTTGCACAATGTCGCACACATAGATTATAGGGTGTTTCCTTATTTGTCGCTACAGGGCTAAGAAAGGTTTTCAAGCCCAAGGCCCCAAACCCTGAGTCTGCATGGGCTATGTAGTCTCACCGCTTCTTGGTTGAACCATTGTGTTCAGAGCTTTCGGGGTTGCAGGTTTAGAATGTAGCGTCAGGGTCTTGAGCTTAAGTATTGGAGTAAGCAGTTTGACTCAGAAACATTGCCCTTACGCCGGCACGCTAGCACCACGACCGAACAGTTCACCCTCGGGCACCATATGAGGTTGTATAGAGGGTTGAAGAAGGAGTTCCTGAATAATCTCTTCTGGCCCCCCTTTTCTTCCGCAATTCCTAAGTAGTTAATGGTCTCCGTTTTCGTCCATATATACTCAAGTATCATATAACTGATCATATATTCCACTACCCCTATTCCTGTCATAGACAGTCGTCTAGCGCGAACGCCCGCACACTTCGGTCGGGAAGCCAAAGAGAGACCGTTACTTTCGGAACTCTTCATACTATATGTCAGAGAGCCAAAAAGCTTCTCTGACGAAGCGTCAGTTTTACTATACAGGGCTCCTAGTTATGAGTTCCCTAGTTAAGGGGGCTCACCGAAAGAAATGTCCTAAACACCAGCTTCTAAAAGGTCAATCTGCAGCTGGGGTGGATGCAAGTTTTGGGCCTTAAGTAGAGGGGCCCAAATTCACAGAACTATGCAAATTGTTTTGGGTTTACTTGTTTGCTCAGCGTCCCTCTCATCTCAGTCGTTCTCAAGTCCGATACCGAAGCATAGGTACCCAGATAGTCTTCAGTGGTATTTTTTGTGTTAAACCCCCGAAAAGCCCTCTGTAATATTGACGCTTGAAAAACGGTAGTACTGCTTCGTAGGCTTCCTTGCTATACTTATGCTAATACTTCCATTAGAAAATGCTCCCAAAAGTAGCGCTTATGGTAACTCTTCAAGTACCCCTAAAGAAAAGAATAACTCAGTACTGGGTGGCAATTTGGGAAACTTTTTAGTTTCCCTTTATGGTCCCTATAGAGGTACAAATCCATAACTACTTTTCAGAGCCCCCAAACTACAACCCCGATTATGAAGGCTCGTGTGTCAATCCCAACTACCTCCTCAGATCTGGCACGTTCACATCTACTTCCAGGGGCGAGGCTGGAAAATGCATGGTCCCTAAGGGTCCAAGTATCATCATGGTATATACTTAGACCCCCCAAATGCCCTATAAGTATATACCAGAATGATACTTGGACCCTTTGGGGGTGTAGGTTTTAGGATTTCAAGTTTAGGGTGCATGAGCATGGGTTAATGGTTTCGGGCTTAGGTTTCGGATTTAGGCCTCAAGGGGTTTATGTAGCCTCAAGGGTCCAAAAGACCCAATAATTATGTATTCGTTTTTAGGATAGTAGTTACGTAGGTTAGGACTCTGTGGAGTATATGATTATTGGGTATTTGGACCCTTAGGGCCAGGGGTTAAAGTTAGGGTTTCGGGTTTAAGATTCAGCTCTTTCGGGTTTGGTGCGGGGCTCAAGATTTTGGGACGTTTGGGGTTTCGTCTCGAGGTTCCGGCTTAAGGATTTCGAGGGATGTGGGTTTAGGGTTTAGGGTTTAGGGTTTAGGTAAGTGTACCGAAACGGAAACGTAGCAAGCCTCATAACCAAATGTTCAAAACATGGATGCTAGGACCTAGAGTAGGCCCTTATTCCCTTTTTCAGCGGTTCAGGTTCCCTTATAAGCCCCTTGAAACCAAAAAGGGCACCCTTTTTGTTCCTAGGTTACTCTTGGGTTTAGGATGAGGGTTGTGGTTTTATGCAGGTTCGGCTTCCGGCTTGGGGGTTGATGCTTCATGGTACTACAGGGAACTCCAGAAAGTTGGAATATGGTTTCAGGGTAGGATACCCGATAATTCACCATAAAGGGTTTAGGATAATCAGGATAATCATATTCCAACTTTCTGGCTTCTCCTGTAGGGTTTGGTTCACTTGCTTCGTTCCATTGCTCATGCAATCCGTGTTGCAAGATCCGGCCATCGAAGCGGGATTTCTGTCAGCGAACCAGGCACTCCCCTCTCCTTTCACGGCACGATGATGCCGCCCCGCCCTCCCTGGTTTCGGATGCAGCTGAGCAGTGAGACCTGCAGCAGAGAGGCCCACAGCTCGCACAGACAGCACAAACAGCCACCGCCCCGAGCCACCTCAAGGCCGGGCTATCAGGGGCTCCAAAGAAGCATCCCAAATTAATTAATGATGCCAGGCCGACATGGAACGCCTGGCAGAGGAGACAGCCAGCCCTCCCAGCGCCACCGAACTCGTTGAACGGTTGCTGAGGCAAACGGAGTCGCGATGCCACAGATCTTAGACGACTCCTCGCGTTACTGCATCCAGTGTTAATCACACTGGTCAACTACTAATACTACCATTCTTCCATTCAAGGGTAGAACCGTATAGTATCCTGTAAAGGGACCCTACTATGGTACCCTATAGTATCCCCTAAACCCTGGTCTTTGTCAGGACCAGATTAGATGACGACTCCAGGAGAGATTGATGGATTCACCGGCAGACGTGGCAACGAAGATGCTGCACATCATAAACTAGGATGCCCAGTAGTACCCTTATTCCCTTTTTGTAGTCCTAGGTTCCTTATAAAGTTACCCAATACCGAAAAGAGAGGCCTTTTTATTCTTAGGTTACTGGGTATCCTAGTAAAAGATATTGCATCACTCTAAGACTGCGTCCTTGAAGCTGTACCAAGACAGGAGTGTCCTTTGCACAGGCACCGGAAACCCCAAAGCCCTGAGCCGAAGCCCTAAACTTACCTTTGGTTTAGGGTTTAGGGGATACTATAGGGTACCATAGTAGGGTCCCTTTACAGGATACTATACGGTTCTACCCTTGAATGGAAGAATGGTAGTATTAGTAGCTATAATTGTACCCCATTCCTCCCTTCCCTACGAACCAAAGGTAATTAAACGATGAACCCTAAACCGGCAAGAAGAGCAATCCGGTTGCACCTGCTGCTGACACTGTCGACGACTTAGTAGTCGGGTAAGTAACCTCTATACGTATGGGGTGGCATACAGTAACCCTCTATGTTTCACGTCTTCTACTAGGCATAGATGTTCGCTAGGCCGAAGCCCCCTCCCACCCAAGCTTGCGGGGGCTGTGGGTTGTGCCATTCCCTACCCCTAAACCCTCAGCCGCCCTACCATCTGGTCTCAACTTGCTTTGTGTGCCACGAGTTCCATATGCTTGATGTCGGCCCAGGGTCACCAATTACTCTTAACATGAAGCCTACCCTAAGCGTGCATGGACCCACAAGTACCACGTTGGGACAGCTGTTTGGACAGCCTGCTTCGAACCTTGCCTTAACCCAAATAACCTGCCGTTTAAAAGCCCTTCCCAGGGTCCAAAATCCCAAACCCTAAAATCTAAAGCAGCATCCTTACGAGTAACCCTAAACGCAGGTGGGATTCCTCCTCGGCTCACCTGCCCTTCCTCCCTCGAGCGGTCGCTGAAGCGGTCCAAGTGCGAGGAGAGGGAGTCGGTTTGGGGCTTTGAGGGTTTAGGGTGCGATTTAAGTTGGTTTGGGTTTTGCGGGTTTAGGGTTTTTTGTTAGGGTTTTTAGGGTTTAGGTTTAGGGTTTGGGGAAAGTTTGTGGTTTAGGGCTGAGGATTCAGGATTTAATTTGAGAAAGGCTTGTGAAAGGTTTTTGTGAGGCAGTTACAAGGGTTGAGGCTTTAAACCAGGGTTCAGATGTGTTTGGGGATGTTGAGATGTGTTTGGGGATTTTGGAAGCTGACTTGAGGCCCTTGAACGGTTTAATCGGGTTGCGGGGCATGTTGATAGTGTTTTCACGGGTTTTCGTTGGGCAGTCGGGAGCGGGTCTGAGTTTAGAGCGGGTTTTAGGCAACCCATGGCGTTGAAGTACATACAGATTAGTGCGGCCTGGTTTCTTGGAAGCCCAATATGTGTGCCCTGTTCTATACGATATCGCATCTTCGACTACTATAGAGAAGGACCATAATGTGGAACAACCTCCGGCTGTTGTGCTCAATGCTTGGCTCTAGTGGGATTCCGAGGGCTTCTGCCGACAGTCCGCAGTCGTTTCACGGTTCGACCTATTACCCCAAACCCTAAACTCCAAACGTTGGCGCCTTTTTAACTGGGCGCGCAATTATGTTGATCTGTTTGTTCAGACGTTGGAGCGACACCTTTCGGTGAGGCTGCAACCGTCGGATACAGAGGTCAGCCCTGTTGCCCCAGCAGACTCAGTTGAGAGCCACAGTGTGATCAGTGAAGGAGCGGCTGAATCGTCTGTGCCTTGTTCCACCACCACTGTCGCAGCCTCCTCGAGAGATGGAACAAGACGACGCGCCGAGAGACGAAGGGCTAGAAGAACTCGGTCCCAAAGTCCAACCGGAACGTCTTTGTTTGTTCCCACTATGGACAGTGACCTGATCTCTGATGGCGATGGTAGCACGGTGGTACATGGGACACAGACGGAAGGCCCTTTTGGCCCACCGCCTCCGCAGCCTGTCAACATGCCATCTTCTTCTTCCGCGGGAGAGTTGACAATCCCTTCGCATCTTGCGCCGACAGAGCTTATGGGCATCTGGCGGGACCCTGAGGACTCATCCGAAGGCGATATGGTGAGGACCCAAGATGACTCGACACCTGCGCCGACGACTACCTCTACGACTTCTGGGATGTCTACGTGCTCCTGCACCACTTCGGCAATGAGTTCCTCCTCCACTATGCCTCCAGTTCTGTCCACTGGTATCATGGCTGTGATCGCTGAGGATGTGGCCTTAGGTACTTCGACTTCTACCTCTACGTCTGTGTGCAATGGGCTACCTGATGGAGAGGTCTTGGAGATGGAGGTTACTTTGTTCAGTGCCCTGTCCCCACAAGACACTGGCTCTCAGAACTTGACGTCTGGACAGATGGGCAATGGGACACTGGAGTCTTTGGGATGGAGATCATTGGAGATGTTGTTGACTCTTACCACTACCACGACGAGTTCCTCGGGCCATGCCCCTGTTCCTCTTCCACCGGGATTAAATTGGCCGTCTGATATTGTCCGCGACGTGGTGAATAGCAACTTGGTCAATGGAGGCAGGACTGATACCATCGAGCTCCTACAACGCCTACTTCATCGCCAACGACGACTCCAACATCAGCACCGGCTTCTTCTGGTTGCAGTCGAGGAGACGTTACGGTGGATTCCTGCGCCTTTGACTGGTACACCTATGAACGCTGGTATCTACGAGAGGAATATCTTGCGGACGGTCCAGGAGGAAGCGACAGCTGGCTCTGGACCCAGTTCGTCGATGACCCCCGTCTCAATGCAGCCACCCTCGACTCTGTTGATGCCAGGGTTTCCGTCCACGCCGGATGAACTTCGTGCAGCTCTTCCGAGTACACCTGACCGCGTTCTCGCTGGCTATCGACGCAGGGCTTGGCGACAGAATGCAAGGGAGGTCCTGGCCAATGATGAAGGTGTCCCTCCAATTGGATCCTGGCCGGCGGAAGATGATCGTGACCTTCATCTTCTCCAACAAGCGGAAGATGTGGCCATACCCAATTGGCCTTCTGGATCCACTCGGCCACCCCGAACTGATGTTCCAGTGGGTGTACAAGGGCGACGTCGACACCAACAACGTCGCCTACCACCTCGTGCCCATCGTCCTGATCGTGCCCTTGAATCTGTTCATCAAGTTCGACCTGATCCTCGTCGTGATCCTCTGCATCGTCCTGAACTGGGAGATACTTCAGATCGACATCGCCCTCGTGCTGCTGTTCGGCGACGTCGTGTCCGAGAGATGTTACCCCTTGGTGATGCTCCAGGTGGAGATGACGAGGAAGGTTCTAGAAATCAGGAAGCACGTGATCGAAGTAGAAGCCGTGATGAGTGAAATGGGACAGTGCTGAGTGAGTGTTTTATGGAGGACGGGTGAATGATGTAAGCTCTTCCCTGTCTTTCTTTCCAGTGCAGGCCTGTATACAGGCAGGCTCCAGACCTTGCTGCTGCAGCGGAGAAAGGGCCATTGCATGTAAAAAACAAACGCACAAAATTTGTAAACCCTAAATCCCCCCCCAAAAAATACATCCTACATTTCTACATCCCTAATGCCCTAAACCCCGAAACCCTAAACTCCTAAATCTCTGAACCCTGAATCCCAAAAAACCCTAAATCCTGAATTTCTAGATCCCGAAACCCTAGAAGCCCAAACTCCAAAATTTCTAGATCCCTAAACGCCTACGGCCCTAAGCCCCGAAACTCCTAATCCTCTATAGGAAACTCCAGAAAGTTGGAATATGGCTTCATGGTAGGATACCCTATAATTTACCATAGAAGGGTTAGGATAATCATATTCCAACTTTCTGGCTTTTGCCCTAAAAGCTCTATTTTCTCAGACCCTTGGCCCGAAACCGTCGTCGGATCCGAAGCCCGAAGACCACGGAAGAAGAGCAGGGAAGCCCTACGGAAAACCCTAAACCCCAGGAGTCCATGTCTTCAGCGTTTAGGGTTTAGGGTTTAGGATTTAGGGTTTAGGATTTAGGATTTAGGGTTTAGGGTTTAGGAAGTCATGTGGGAGTTTCCGAAAATTCGGGGTACCTCATTTTGGGGTCCTTGTAATCAGGATCCTATTTTTTATTTTTTAGGGTACCGTCTTTTCGGAAATCCCCATACAGAGATTTAGTCCTAAACCCTACACCTAAGTGAAGAAGCCTAGGGAACCAATACCTGGACTTGCTCTATTGGGGATGGGGGGCTCTATTACACTTGAACATATACTAGGACCCAGAGTAGGCCCTTATTCCCTTTTTTAGGGTTCAGGTTCCCTGATAAGCCCCTTTAAACCAAAAAGGGCATCCTTTTTATGCCTGGGTTACTCTTGGGTCTAGTATATAGGGGCAACGCCGGTATGTATTTAATAAGTAGCTGCTCAGGATTTGGAGAACCGATATAGGGCCCTTACCAATGAGGTCGGGTGGAATTTTACTTCATAGCTTTATGTGATAAGATGGCAGCTAGCTAGGGTACTACCAACATGTATCCGCGCCTCGTTCATTGGGATTGGGTGAGCTCTGATTTCAAGGCTGCTTAGGGTTTCGGATTTAGAGTTTGAGGGTAGTTGGCTTCGAAACTGGAGACTGGCTAACTTTGATATACTCACTCATATTAAACATCCCTTTTTAGATTTCACGGTAGTTTGCAAGCCAAACTCGAAACTCGAATTACTAAACCCTGTATAAAGCTTTAGAGTTTAGGGCTTGCTGTGGAGTTCTAAAGTGTTGCAAAAGAGTTCTTGTTAACGCTAGGACCGCGCAAGATATGGAACAACGAAGCACGGCCAGTGCTTTTGCTAGGATCGATTGGAACCCGCAGAGAAGAGGCTTGGCGAAGCGCTCATGTTCGACTGTTCTGGCCCATAGGGTTCGGGTTTAGGATTTGGGGCTTGAGGGTTTAGGGTTTGAGGGTTTCGGGTTTACTTTTAGAGTATAATGCCCAAGCAATGCTGCATGCCCCTACTGAAGCAGCACACCCATTGCTAGCACCTGTAAAGTGAGTCTATGAGACCTTATAAAGCACCAATCGACAGGAGTGTATGTGCCTTAATCCTGAGCTCCTCTACATGAAAGGCTTGAGGTATGCAAGGCATTGGATATTTACACGAAGGTTCCTCAACCTCCACTGTAGCCTTTGGGTTCGGCCGATCGTGATGACAGGACCCTCTATGCTCAAGGTACGAGGTAGCCAACCAAAAGCGAAACCCTAAGGCTCAAAATGGCCTAAAAGCCCTATGTAGTATGGTCTTCGGGCCCGAAAACCTTAATATATGAGCCCTTAGAGCCTTAGGGAAACCTTTATTTCAGATGAACGGTTCAATCGCGTAGATGCGACACCGAAAGCTCCAAATCTTGAGCTCTGAACAGTTAAACCTTAAACCCTGTTTCTAAACCCTAAACCTTGAACCCCATACCCTAAGGCTCCATGTACCCATATAGTAGCTACTTAACCCTTAAAAGGGGCCCCTATATAGGTACTTTAAGGCCTAAGTATCTACTATATGGGTACATGGAGCCTTAGGGTAAACCTTGAACCCTAAACCTTGAACCCTATAAGCCTTGGGCCCCAAATCGAAGCCCGAAAGAGGATCTTCAGGCACCAGTTTGTATTGTTAAGGACCGAAGGCACTTGGGTTTCTAGGGTTTATAGGGCTTATAGGTTTTATAGGGTTTGGGGTTATAGGGTTTATAAGGTTTAGGGTTATAGGGTTTATAGGTTTTAGGGGACTTTTCTTCCAAAACGGCATCTCTCGCTTCGAGGCGCCGCGTCAGCGACCACTGCGAGATGCCGCCACCGAGGCTCCAGCTGTCTAATATGGAAGCGGAAGTAATTACCATTCTTTAGTATGATGACACTATGAAGGCCACCAAAGCCCTATTCTAACTACCAAGGCCCCTAATTTATGTCGAAGTCGAAGGAATTGCCAATACTATTAATTAGGGTCTTTTCTTCAGGTTCTCTATTTTGATGGAAGTAATTACCAATATGATTCTTTAGGTTCTGTATTATGATGATACGATGAAGGCCACCAAAACCCTATTCTAATTGCTAAGGCCCCTACATTATCTAATAGTTTTTGGTTTGGGGCTTTAGGGCTTTGAGGTTGAGGTTTAGTGAGGTCTTGGTGGGCTACGGGGCGTGTTCTGAGAGTTTATTGGGCTCTAAAGGGGTTGCATAAGGGCATATCTTTAACGGCTTGTATAGGGTTTCTAGAACGGCCAAGAGACTCCAAGACTCTTGAATTAAGGAAGATTAAATCGAAGTGCTTTTTCTGAGCTCCTGAACTGCTCCCTAAGGTTGCTTGGGCTATTCAGGATGTAGGCTCTGGGACTGCGGGTGTGAGGCACTCTTCCGGAAACCTTTGCATCTCCACGTTTGGGGTTCAGGGGTTTAGGGTTTAGGGTGTACCTGAACCCAAGAAACACCTGTAGAAGGCTGCATACTTTTGGGATGCCCGTAATTGTCTAAGTAGGGGTACCTTGTTCAGTGAGTGGTCCGCTTAGTAAGAACCGCACACTTTGGCATCCAACGTGGAGGTACAGTCTTTTCGGAGACTTCCCTACTGGAGACTCCAAGACCGTGCACTTAATGAGTACCTCCGAAAGGAAGGAGGGTTTCTTACTCTGAGGTAAACTGAGGTAATGATATCTAAGGTGTATTCCGCAATTAAGGAGCATTGAAAATCCCCGTTAACACCAGCAAGCCCTCTAGAACCATGTACCACCAGTAGTAAGTTTGGATGAGCTGCCGGCACACACCAGACACCTAGAACGCGAAATTCGAAGCCCTACTGTTGATGATAGAAATCCTGCATGACCCATAATAAGGAACCTACCATAATTCCCATAGTTTAGTTTCAGGATGTATATCATCAACCGTAGGTTTGAGACCCCGTTCCCTAAGGCGACCCTTAAGCTTAAAACTTATAGGCCCTAAGCCTGAATCCGGGACCCTGAATCCTACGGTTGATGATGGAAATCCTGCATTGCCTTAAGGACCTTAAACTATGGGAATTATGGTATATTCCTGATTATGGGTAAGGATTTATATCATTAACCGTACGTCCCCCAGCTCCCTACTACTAAATCTAGCCCCTAAGCTCTCTGGACCACGAAGTTCTTACAGCCCCAGCTCGCCGCATCACCAGGCCGTTCAATACCCAACAGATGTTAGAAAAACATCGCTGTATAGATTTCCAGCTTGATTTTGCTGATGCCGGTTCTAAATCTGCTGATATAAAGACGGAAGTCCCTAAACCCTGAGCCTGAGCCGTAACCGAATTGAATGTCCAGGCCGGAAAGCCCATCTTTGTCACCGCCTGCTGGCTCAGCCTGGGGGACTCCAGAAACCAGGGCCACGATGGATTTTTGTAAGGGTCAGATAAAGGTTTCATAGGGTTGTTTGCTGTTTTCCCATGTGTTGTGTAAGAGTTTTAGAAATTAGATGGCTTTATACGGTCTACAAGGGTTTCCATGGGCTCCCGAACTAAAATGTACCTACGTGAATCATATGGGAGTTTCCGAAAATTGGGGGTACTTCATTATGAGGCCCTTATAATCAGGATCCTACTATTTAGGGCTACTATTTTAGGCTGCCCCTTTTTCGGAAACTCCCAGACCGCAGATGCCTCTTGAGTTGAGTCTGGGGGTATACGGTTGATGATATAAATCCTGCATTACCCATAGTCACGAATATACCATAATTCCCATAGTTTAGGGTCCTTAAGGTAGTGCAGGATTTATATCATCAACCGTATTGACGTAAGGAGTGAAACCCTTACTTCTGCCTAGCTCGGTTTTGTTGCGAGTGTACCTTCAGACTTCGGGCTCAGTGCAGTGGAAGAAGAAGAAGACATCTGGTTGCGAGCGCCGAGAGTTTAAGGCTCAAGAGCAGTTTTTTTGGAGATTTTTGCATTTCGGCTCGGGATAGTCGATTTAGGGCTTAGGGTTGATAGGGTTTTCGATTGTCCTCTGAATTCTGGGGATCACCAGTTGGCTTCAGAAGCTCATTCTCAAGGCCTTTGACGCATTGCCCCAGTTCATTGAATTCGACCCAAGAGTTTTCAGTGACTTGTTCCTGGCAGCGTTGGAAAATAAACTGTGCCTTCTGCTTTGTCCGCAGCTTGCACGAGGTTTGCAGCGACGCTGATCCTTGATTTGCTGGTGGGAAACGCTGAAGTTAGCGCTCGCCTCCTATGTCGAATACTTCCACATCATGCCCTTGGCTGAGACACGCTTGCAAGCCTGTAAAGCTGCTAAGTGGCTGGCTTGCGCGCCGCGCGCGAAGTTCCTGAGACAGGATCTTCGCGCTGCACCCTTTCGGAAGAAGCGCGGTAGCTCCCAAAACGTCGGTGCATTTCGTTTAGAGCTTCAAATTTCGCCAATGACATCCAAGTTGCGCAAGTCAGAGGATCGGCTTACGGGCCAGTTTCCTTGTCTGCCAGTGCGAAGGACGCTGTTTAGGGTGAGTAGAGTAGGTACTGCCCGCTCTCACCTACTCACAAATGTCCCATGTGCCCAGAACATGTTCGAAGCCGTTTTACTCTTTGCCCTAACCCACGCTGTAAATTCCAAGCCCAAGCCTTAAACCTCAGAGGACAGTACCCTCATAGAACCTAAGCCCGTTCAACCCTTCCGGTTCCCTAAGTCCTCCACACAACAAGAAGCCCTGCGCCAGCGTGCCGAAACTTAAGATGCAGAGTCTTGGAGCGGTTTACGGGGCTGTAAGGTTTCAGGTTTACCCATAGGCCCCAAAGTAGTTCCTTTTTGGAATTACCTTACCCTAAGGCTCAAAATAGCCCAAAAGCCTTATATAGTATGGTCTTTGGGCCGAACAGGCTTAATATACGAGTCCTTAGAGCATTAGGGTTATAGAATTCTAACTATGAAACCCCAAAAAGGAACTACTTTTGGGGCCATTGGGTAGATCAGTTTCGAGGATGAAGGCGCTGTGTCCTTTTCTCGGGAATCTACATCCCCTACACCCCCCCGTAACTACTATAGTTAGTCCCTATAGTTCCCTTATAGATCTCCAAAACCCCAAACCCTTATCCCTCATAGATTTCCAAAACCCCAAACCTCTGTAGTACAAACCCCTGTAGTGCCCTTATAGATCCCTTAAAGGATCCCTTGTGACCCGAAAGGGCGAAAAAGTGTCTCTGAGGCGCCTGTCGAAAGCCAGGAGCATGTTGTCCGGGCCCTGAGAGGAATTCAAGCGGAAGCGTTTCAGTGCTCATAGGTTCAGGGTTGCGCAGCATTCTTCACATATCAAGCAAGTTTGGTAGAAGTACTGCCTGCAGGTAGATCAGTGCCCTGTCAAATCCAAGGCTATCCGCTCGCTGAGTGCTGCGAAGCATCGCTTTGCAAGTCTGGCATTGCCACTGGGAAGAAGCATCCTCTGCCTAGAAGCGCTCTTGAATACGGCAGTTTGGCTATCAATCCACAGACGAGGAAGTGACGAAGGCAACCAGGCTGCCGCCTGGATGCAGACAGTGGACGAGGAGTACCTGCTTCTCGCCGCCATGGCGGCGGACTGCGCAGATGAAGCACTCGTCTTGTTACGGCGGTTCGATCGCAATGCACACGACATCGCTGACACCTGCTTGGAAGTGCAAGCTTTTATGAGCCGCACATGTGGACGCTGCCCGGATAAACAAGGCACGCAGTCCAGGTTCTGCAACGGTTAGCGGTTCTGATAGGACTGGCCGGGGGCCGGGTTCCATCACACCAGCCGTCTGCTCACGCGTCTTCCAGAGCACAGTGCGCATGTGGTGCTTGCGGGCGAAACCTTGATTTGGGGCTTTAGGGATTGGGTTTTATGGTTTAGGATTAATTTTGGACTTAGGGCTTTAGGGTTTGGGATTAGTGGTATGTTCACAATTGGCAACAGCAATAGCTACCGGGAAGCTACCGTGAATCTGCAGATTGCCGACAGTTTGCCAGCAGTAGCAGAAGTGGTTCGGATGCTTTAATTTGGGGGGCCTAAAAACGGTTGATGATATAAATTAAATCCTGCATGACCTTAAGGACCCTAAACTATGGGATTTATGGTAGATTTCTGACTATGGGTAATGCAGGATTTATATCATCAACCGTTTAAAACTTAGGGTTTTGACCACAAGGGTCTTGGTTTTAGACAAGTTTGGGGGTTTAGGGTTTCGGTTTTGAGGAGCTTAGCATTTCGGGAGTCAGGGGTTCTGGTTTAGATCCCCAGAGTCGCCAACAGTACGGATCTTAAGGCTTAGGGTTTAGGGTTTAGGGCTTAGATTTAGGACTCGGGGGTATGAGATGCGCCTTTGAAGCTCCATGCCCGCCAGGAACATCCGCAACTTCAGCATCCAAACCGCTGAACATCCGATTCATCCGAAGTTTAGTTGAAGCATAAAGCCGTCTCGTGAAAGGTGAGAGCCTTAAGCTCCGAAGCCACAGAAACAACAGCCACAAATGCGGCTCGAGCCCTGTGAAGCCTGAAATGGGAGCTTCAGTCCTGGACCCTAAACCTTGAACCCTAAACCCCAAACCTTAAACCCTAAACCTTAGCCTTAAACCTTAAAAACTAAACCCTAAACCCAAACGAGGACCTGCAGTAGTAGGAGCCTCGGAAAGGATCCTTGCTTCGAAGAAGCCCCCAAAGTCAACAGAAGCTGGGCTTTGCCCTTGGCAGGAGTACCTAGAGGCTCATACCCTACCCCTTCTTTAGGATACCTAGTTTTATGGTTAGGATCTGTTATCTTAAAAAGTAGGCGCCCTAAAAAGGGGGTAGGGTATGAGCCTCTAGGTACTCCCACGAAGGATTCCAGAAACTTGAACTGCGCAGAGCTTCCTGTTCTGATTGAAGAAATGTCTTCGACTTGAATACTTGTTCCCACATTCTGACAAGAGTTCATACCTAGTCTGCTTTGCATTTCGTGACTAGGTATTATGGTGCTCCCCAGTGTTTTAGGTTATATACGTCATCCTGAAATGGGCAAAGTAGTCTCCCAAAACCCAAGCCCCAGACCCTGAACCCCAGGCCTTAAACCCAACCCAAAACCCTAACTTTAACCCCCACCTATAGTCTCCATTGTAGTTCCTTTTTTGGATAACCAAAATCTCTATTATAGGATCCTAGCCATAAAACTGGTTAACCAAAAGAAGAAACTACAATGGAGACTACAGGTAGGAACCCTCAACCATCCTAAACCCTGGCGCTAAACATTGTTTGAAAGGGGTACATTGCACTTCCTGCGGTGGATGATATAAATCCTGCATTACCTTAAGGACCGGACCCTAAACTATGGGAATTATGGTAGACTCCTTATTATGGCTAATGCAGGATTTATATCATCAACCGTAGCGCTGGCACTGCCGAGGTCCGTCTGCAAGCGCTCCCCCTGCTCAGTTGACCTCTCGGCGTGAAGGGCTTCGGTTTGGGTTTTATCGGGTTCAGGGTTTTTGGTTTAGGGTTCATAGGGTTTGGGGTCTCTGGTTTACAGGGTTTAGGGTTTCTGGTTTAGGGTTCATAGGGTTTAGGGTTTCTGGTTTAGGGTTTCTGGTTTAGGGTTTAGAGGGTTTCGGTTTGGGGGTTAAGGGTTTCCTATCCTTCCAAGGACCTCATAGTTAGAGCACTAGACCCCTTAAAGACCCAACAATCAGGTAACTGGAGGCATAGGGGTTCACGGTTTAGGGCTTGGGGGTTTAAGGGTTCCTGAGCAGGGTGTAGGGTTTGGCTTATGGGGTTTAAAGTTCCAGCAAGGGGTTGCGGGGCCTGGTGGGTGTTTTAGGGTTCAGGGTTCAAAGAGAGCTGAATTCTTCTTGAGTAAGGAGCACTCCTGAAATGATCCAGACTTTTCTGGTTCCGATTTCTCGGGGCTCTCTGAGGATTGAAATCAATCAAGGGTTTAGGGCTCCGTGAATAACCCAAACAGTCCAAGTAGCCAATCATCATATACTCCCCGAAATATTAATATACATAACTACTATCCTAAACCCAAGTACCTGATTTTTGTTTGTCCTTTGGACCCTTGGGGCCTAAACACCTTAAAGCCTAAACCCCTAAACCCTAAACCCCTTGAACGTAACATTCCGGCTTGGGCTTGAGATTTTCGTAGGCTTGGGATCTTGACTCGAAGTTCTGATGGGTTTAGGGTTTTTGGGGTGTAGGGTTTATGGTTTGGGGTTTATATAGGGTTTAGGGTTTTAGGGTTTAGGGCTTATAGGCTTTAGGGTTTAGGGTTTATTGGGTTTTCAGGGCTTCGGGTTTGGCGGCTTGCGATTTAGAGTTCTTTTGTTGGAGGGCGGTCCGGAGCTTACGGTCGGGAGGTCACCACGAGACCCTGCACTGCCTTGAGCCTTAAACCGTGGGGGTTTAGGGTTTTAGGGTTTAGGATTTAGGGTTAAGGGGACTTAAACCCTCAAAATATCCCTACCAACTGCTGTGCCCGAAGCTGCCCCAAACCCTGAATTCCTGTAGCCAGAAGACGCCAAGCTCTAAACCCTAAATGTCCCTCTGAACCCGTGACCCCTTGCCCGAAGCGTGCAACCTTCGACATCTCTTGCACCCAGAAAGCATACTCCGGGCAAAGCAAAGAAACGGCATGCCCGCTTGCGAACTCGATATGGCGGCCACTTCGGTTACAGCCGCAACAGCTGCGACGGCAGGCAAAAGTGCCGTACCTCCAGTGCGTGCAGCTGCTGTGCCAAGCGGTGGTGGAGGAAGTGTCGTCCAGAAGCTTCATGTGAGAGATCTCTCGTAGCTCCAAATGTCGAGCAGCTTGAGGCAGGAGCTGCCTTGCGAGCAAGCAGACAGCACGCCAGGAGGACCATGCATCAGACCCATACATGAGCTTAGACTTGAAAACAGTCAACCTTACACAAACTAGGACCTAGAGTACGCGCTTCTTCCCTTCTTTAAGGGTTCAGGTTCCCTTATAAGCCCCTTTAGACCAAAAAGGGCATCCCTTTTATTCCTAGGTTACTCCTGGGTCTAGTAAACCCTAAGCCCATCTTCCCAAACCCATTAGTGAGGGCAACTTGCACTTAGGGCCTTTTCCGGAAATAAAAGTTTGCTTCTGTGACTGTTGGAAGCTCAGCAACTCCCGGAGCCCATGCCCCTGAAGGTGATATATACTTACTTGTTTATTTAGTTAGACCATTTACATTATGAGCAACTATAGTAGGGATCCAACATAGATAGTGGCAGTTGCCGTTTTAGGCGATGCAGAAAGATATATTTTCTGTATGAGTATACATATATATATATACACATACACATGACCTTGTGCTGTAAGATACCACCCAAACCCGTCTGCAATTGACATTACGTTCTAGGGTTTTGGACTGGATAATTGAGTATGGGGCAAATTCAACAGTGGTGGTAAACCCTTTTAGCAGGTTAGGGCGGTCTTCATAAAGCTTCTCAAGGTTCTTCAGTGTAGCTCCACCTGCTAGTTTCTGTCGCTTCACCAGTGAAAAAGAGTAATCGGTGAATGGGGGTAATTTTCACTTACAGGACTGCACGGATCTATATGTGTTTTGACGTAGTAGGCTAGGTAGTAGGGTATCCGAAGCGTTGCAAGATTTATCTTTAGCTACAAAAACCTGTATGTTTAATGGACCCTTATCATGGTTTCTTGATGTTCGCTCAAAAAGGGGTTGTTCGAGTTCGAGCTACGTGTACTTTTTGGTTCGTTGAACGTTTAGGGGAAAGAGGCTGCAGGTTTCGAATATTGAATTTTCAGTCTTTACAGCGCTTTAATCCTTTATCCTTGACATACAAGCCCTAGCGAGCACTCATAAAGCGGATTCCAATTCTTTTGGAACCTGGGGAAAAACTTAACAAATCGCTATGAGACAGACACCTCATAAGGCCCAATAGCTCCTGATAAAATCTTAAGGTAGGCAAGCACCCGGAGTCGAGGTCTAATGCTTCGCAGCACCGACCTGCACAAATTCCTGATTCCGCACAATCCAGCGGTTGGAGCCTGCTGCCCGTACTTCCCGACCAGGCTTTCTATGGTGAATGGTTTATAATACTATTCAACGATTTGTTTACAGATGTCTGAGTATCCCAGCGGCACCAACATGTAGTCTGTAGAGGTTTCGGCTTTAGATTTTTGGGGTTTGCTGTTGTTCATGATTTCCGAACCTTGACCCAAGGGCCTTCGGATTTTGCAGCCTACTTTTTACTTTTTGAGGGTCTTCGATGGTGTGACTTGGGGGTTCACGGTTTGATTCGGGGCTCTGGGTTTTAGGGTTTGGGGTTTAGGGTCCAGGGTTTAGGGTTTCTGAATACCCCAGAGCCTACACCCGGCAGAGTTTGCAGTTGTAGCTCCTGGTCCTTGACCAGTACAGGCAGGGCTCAACGTTTCACTTCTCTCACCCAAAGGATCGTGTGACTGCTTGATACGTAAAGCTCCAATAAAGGAATGTCTACTACTTGTTCATGTTACTGTGCAACAAAATTCGCCACGATTAGTTTTCCTATTCGTGACTAGCTATGGTCACTGCTGTCACTGGCCACTGGCAGTATGTGTTTTGTAGTCAAACCCCGAGCCCTTCAACCCTAAACCCCTAAACCCTGAAACCCAAAACCCTAAATTTAGGGGCTGCGCCCAGGTGCGGGCAGCGCGAGCTGTTGTCAGAAACCCGCGGTATATAGATAAGTGCAACGTAGGCCCGAAGTGCGCAACTTGTGGGTGATCGTAGGCTCTCAGCCCCCGTCGGCCCTGCATGTAGCCCGCACCCCCCGTCCGCCGGACCCCGCTGATGCTCATGATGCGCGCCCTTTGGCGGCTTCCGCAACCCACTCAAAAACTTGGGAGTTATGACTTCGCGCCCACGTCGCGCCGCCGGCGCCGGTTGCGGGCGCCCGAGGGCTCATGATGCTCGCCGGCTCGCCTCCTGGCGTCGTCCACCGCGGCCCCGAAACCCGCCACACCGCGGGGAATGGCTGCAAAACGCGTGCACGTTCCGAGACGCCTTCGGGCCAGGCCCCGCGCGGCCCGAGGGAGAAACGAGGGTCCGATGATGCGGGGTCCGGGGCGGGTCGGCGGCACTGTCGGTCGTGGCTTCTGCTTCGCAGACGAAGCTCATTCGTCTGAGCCATAGCTCAGTCCATACAGGGCAGCGAAGCGCTGCCCGATTCTAGGGGCTGCGCCCAGGTGCGGGCAGCGCGAGTTGTTGTCAGCGGATGTAGCGGGGGAACGGGAAAGACACGGTCAAAATTTCCAGACGGTGCCGAGACAACGACAGCTCGACACCGGAAGAAAAGTGTGACGTAGGCCCGAAGTGCACAACTAATGGGTGATCTTACGCTCTTAGCCCTCGTCGGCCCTCCAATGTAGCCCGCATCCGCCCTCCGCCGGACCCGCTGATGCTGATGATGCGCGCCCTTTTGGGGCTTCCGCAACCCACGCAAAAACTTGGAAATCATCACTTCGCGCCCACTTCGCGCCGCGGGGCCGGTTGCGGGCGCCCGAGTGCTCATGATGCTCGCCGGCTCGCCTCCTCGGTTCGTCCACGGCGGCCCCGAAACCCGCCATGCCGTGGGGAATGGCTGCGAAGCGCGTGCGCGTTCCGGGACGCCTCCGGGCCAGGGCCTGCGGGGCCCTATGGAGAAACGGAGGTCCGATGATGCGGGGTCGGCGGCGGGTCGGCGGCACAAGCCGTCGTGGCTTTTGCTTCGCAAGAGAAGCCCATTCGTCTGAGCCATAGCTCAGTCCATACAGGGCAGCGAAGCGCTGCCCGATTTAAGAGCCTCCGGCTCAAGCCGCCGACCCCGTGGGCGACAGACCAGAAGCCGAATGCACTTGTACAGGCAAAGTCGTTTGGTGTCCGCGAGGCCCGTAGGTTTAGTTCTAGAAGGAGACGCCAAGATGGGAAGTGCAAACAAAGCCTTACCGCAGGCGCGACGATCACGCGAAGTAGGAACAAGGAGCACTTTGGAGCGGCCGAGGTTGAGGTTGAAGAGGAAGAAGGGGGCAAGGTGGGTGGGGCGGGGAGGGGGCAGGAGGGGGGGATGCGGGGAGGGGAGAGGGGGGGAGGGGGGGAGGGGGGGAAGGGCTTTCAGGCAGGAAAAAGGAAAAACAAATTGGTGGGGCTTGGGTGCTGCTTGCAAACAGCCATGGGGTACCCCCCCCCCCCCCCCTGGGTGCGCCCGGTTTGCGGGGTTTGGTGTGGGAGGAGGGAAAAAGGGAGGTTAACACCTCCAAGCCCATCGAAACCCAGGGTCGGCGGACCAAAACCCTTAAACCCTTAACCCTGAAACCCTAAACCCTTAAACCCTAAACCCTTAAACCCTAAACCCTGAACCCTAAACTCTGAACCCTAAACCCTTAAACCCTAAACCCTAAACCCTTAAACCCTTAAACCCTGAACCCCTAAACCCTAAACCCTAGACCCTTAAACCCTAAACCCTAAACCCTGAACCCCTATGTGTTTTGTATAGGAATTCGGATCCTTTGGGTTACAGGCACCGTAGCATCGGCACCGCACTCATCCGCGGTTTTCCTTCAGCCCACAGCTGGTATGCTACTATTTGCTTAAGAACCCCCAAAAAAATAAAAAATAATAATCCCTATATTATCCCTATAAGGAATATATATATATATATATTTTTTATTTTTGGGTGTTCTTAAGCAAATAGGAGTATGGGTCTAGGAATTATCGGCTTAGGGTCTTCTGTGGCAGGAAGAGCGTAGTAGGATCAATCTACATCTATGTGAGTTCCTGTCGCAAACGGAATGGTGACTAAGCCGCTGTGCTGAAGCCGAATTAAATCAGGCTTCACCCATTATAGGATCCTTAAGGGAGGGTGGTTCAAGGGGGGAGGGTATAAGGAATCCTTAGGGGACTCTAAGGGAACCTTAGGGAGTACTAGGGAGGAGTGGGGATCACTAGGCTATATACCCCCCTTGGACCCCCCTCCCTTAAGGATACTACAAACCCAAGTCCCGAGCCCCAGATAATCTGAAAGCTGTGGCTGAAGTCCGTGTAAAGACTCCAGAAACCACAAGAAGCCCCCGACCGAACCAACATGTCCGTTTTTTGCTTACATGGCGCTTGGAGTGATTATCCGAAGTTGGCCCGAAGATTCAGGAAGTATACCAACATAAACCCTCAACCCTCCACCTTAGACCCTAAAGCGTTCAACCCAAAACCCTAAACCCAGTAGCCCCAACACACTGAACCAACACCCGCCGAAGCTGATCTCTGCCTGGACCCCGAATTCGGGGTTGGGCCATTATTTCACCTATTTTCGGAAGTTTATGTGTGTTCTGACCACGACCACCCGACCCGGATCCTGCAAACCCTGAACACGATAAACCTGATACGAGCGTCCTCCCAAAACAGCCACCCACATGGTTTCTGTGGTTCAGCCAACCGGCCGTAATGCAGCTAGACATGTAAAAGCCCTTAAGCTAGAGGGCTCTCTTCAGAACCCCAAACTGCAAACCTCAATCCTAAAGCATCCGAAACCTGTATAAGCCCTATAAAACGTAGTTTGGGGTTTGCGGTTCTCAGCATTCTATGACGGTGTAGGATGATCTAATTGCTAACTTGGGGTGATAGCCTACTGCCTAAAGTCTCAAGTCTCTGGTCACCTTGTAGGCTCCTACTGCACCACTTGTTGAACACAAAAGGAACACCAATGGAGACTTTAGGTAATTTACTACCTTGTCGCCAGAGAGTTGTAATCTGTTCCATCTGCATGGAGTTCACTGCAAATCAAGTGGCCCAGCCAAGGAGCACTTAGGGTCCGTCCGCTTCAACTTTTAGCGGTTTAGCATTTAGGGTTAGGGGTTAGGGTTTAGAGTTTAGGGTTTATGGCTTAGGGTAGCATTTAGGGTTTAGGTGCTAGTGTACATGTCCGACTACTCAGATTAGCAAGGAAGTTCTCACGCCTTTCACAATGCCCGAAACACCGTTGCCTTTTCGAGAGTGCATCCACGGTGTTGCTCCACTCAGGATCCCAGAGACACAGCTTCATTTTGGATTGTTTTGGTGGATGGGCTTCGTTGGGGGGGGGTCCGACAATCAAGCCTAACTTATGTGAAGGTCCCCTAGATGATTACATCCTGCATACCTTGTCTGATATCTACACCTACACAAACCAGCCCAGCAAGAACTATGATATCAATATTGGTAGAATACTGAACATGATATCTACGAGCAGCAAAAACATCGACTCGACACTAAACCGTAACAGTGTTTAGCATCAGCAATAGAACCCCCCCCCCCCCCGCCCCGCAGTGTGCGTTGATATCCCTTAGGCCTGGTGCGCTTAATGCAAAGCCCCGGGGACCCATTTAGCCTTAGCCCTACCGCTATAGACGTAAAGCTTCGAATGTAGACCCAGACTGATAAAAAAAAACCCTATTTGGTTAAAGGCCCTGGTATTTGGTATCTTTGTTGTAAACCTTCTACAGGCAGGACTATTATAACCAAAGTTCGACATCTGCATCCCTACATCGCAGGCCTTTGGCTACAGAGGGCACGCGGGCCAAAGAGGGAGCCCACGGCCCCCCCCGTGCCCTGTTTCACCGAAGCGGCCAGGAGATTGAACATACATGCCGTGATCATCTCAGTGTTTAGGGTTCCTGAAATCGCAAGTAACTTTAACGTAGGAAACTAGACACCTATTGCGCACTGATTCCGAAGTTTTCCGAAGGGAGGATGCGGCAGTCGAGAGCCGCCAACTATAGACAAAAAGTCGCGTCTCTAGGCCATAAACCCCACCCCTAACGTTTAGGCCTCCGGAGGTAGGATAAAATGAAGTACACCCCGAACGAAATGCACACTAGTCCGTTCGCCTTAAGACAGAGTGCATTTTGTACACGGTTCTGGGACTTATAGGGTTCAGTACCTGAGGATTTGAGGAATTTAGGTGTCAGACTTGTTAAGACGTTTAAGGTCTAGCCGTTA